AGCCGGTATCTACAAAATCTCTTGTCCAGATTGCAATAATATCTACATTGGTCAGACGAAAAAGGCTTTGGAAACAAGGTTTAAAGAACACATCGCAGAGGTAAAAAAGGCTAACAAAAAGATGGTTAAAGGACTTTATTATGAATTTAAATCCAAGGTTGCAGAACATATCTTTATTAAGGGGCATAATTTGACAAAGGATAATATTAATATCCTAGGGAGTGTATCTTCGCCTTGGAAACTAGACGTAGCAGAAAGTTTAGAAATATTTAAACTTATCCATCAACATCAAGGAACCGGGTACTCCATACTCTTTAGGATGCATTCTAAAAACACACATCGTAGCATGCTTATACCGTGCCGATTCAAATTTCGGACACTTAAACTCGAATTTCGGACACTTTTAAAAGTTGATTATCTCGGTCGAATATGATCCACATGTCTTGTAAATTTTAAATTTTTTTGACTAGTGCCCTCCACGATCATCTAACATTATTACTTTGTTTCTAACTGGATGTAATATTTAATTAAAAATGAAAGTGTCCGAAATTTGAATCGTCCGAAATTTGAATCGGAACGGTACCTGTTGGAGACTAAATTTAGGTACCAACCAAAATGGTTAGGTAAATGTAACATGGCAATTGGATACCTACCCATTTTTTAGTACCTGTTGATTAGTATATAAGTCGTAGATAAAAGATGGATTCTTCAATGGTGTTGAGTACTTGGCACTGATGAAGTCTGCAAGTAGTAGACGAAATACGCATATCTGTCAAAAGATAAGCAATTATAACGGAATTAAAAGGAAATAAATCAACACACACAAAGCTCTGCACTTCAAACGTTGTTTTTAGTATTATAGTCACTTTAATACGTTTTCGGTCAGTCGTGGTTTGTCCGGGTATGAGATTTAAACTCGTGGAGTTGCTTTCAGAATTCCCCTCAATAATGTTATCAATTCTCTCCAGTATTCCTTAGACAGTTTCTCCCTAATAGATTTGGAATTCTGTTCAGAACACTTTAGGAACTCCCTCCAGAATACTCTGAAATTTACTCTTCGCACTATTTATAATCCTCACGAGAATTTACTTTTATTTCTCTCCATAGTTGTTCTTCAAATTCCCTTGAAATATTCATCAGAAATCTCTTGGATTTCACCTCAGAATTGCATTGTAATTTCGCTTGAAATTCTTCTCAAAATTGCATTGAGAGAATCTCTTTGTATTCTCATGGAACTAAACGCCTTCAGAATTTTCATTTTCTTGGATTTCGCCTCAGAATGCATTGGAATATATAATTGCGAGAATCTCTTGGAATTTCAAATTTATAATTGAGAGAATCTCTTGGATTGTAATTCTAACGGAACTGGAACTCTCCCTAGAATTCAAAATTTATTTATCTCCTGGAATGCTACTCCAGGTTTTTGGTAATAACATTCAAAATTTTCTCTAGGGACCCCGTCGGATAACTTGGAATTCACCGTTGGTTCTCCTGACAGTTTTCTTCGCTTGTCAAAATTACCTGGAGCTTATAGGCAAATTCATTTAGAATTGTCCTCAGAATGTATATAGAGAACGATTTTTTTTCCTCTGTTCGGGACCTAACACTACTTCGACTAGTAAATTGATCTATTGTAGTATATCCCGTGTCCTTAGTTTAGTGCATGTCGTATTACTCCATCCATCCTTGAGAAATGGTGAAGTATTCGATTTTTTTACAGTTGCCACTCTTGCATTTATCGCAAGGATCCGACTCTCATTGAAAGGTTCCGCTATTTATACCCTTCGGAGTGTTGAAACACCCTCAAAAGGCGTGCCCCTTTGTTAGTCAAAATTGGATTCCTTAGCAACAAAATTAAGGCATGACACCGATAATGACTATGCATCAGAACCCTAGTCTTAACGACTTCACACTAGGGAAAAACGAATAGAAGATTAGGAATCACATAGGGGAAATGACGGCTTCGGCATGACAGACTATTTTCGGCAACCCAAATTGAAACACTATTTTCACTGGATTTTCTTACGAAAACACTTCGCTGAATGCATACAAACGATTCTTTATGCTTTCAGCTTCAATTTGACTATATTTTTACCACTGAGAAAAAGCAATCTAGCAAGGTTTTCTTGAAATGCAACACACGCACTACAAATTGTAGCTGATTTCGAGTTGCCGATAATAGAACAGCAGATTTACATGCAGTTCAAATGGACAATACTCGCTCTCACTAGAGAAGATTGGAGCTTTGTAAACGCTCAAAACAGTTTTTGACAATTCTTTCGACTGAAATTGTTAGAGCAGCTGGCAGCAAAAGATTGTAAACAAACCAATACTGCATATGTGTGCGTTCCTTAGAGAAAAAGGCTATAGAAAGAACGTCGCTGCTTAGGTTGCCGAGAATACGGAAATTCCCCTAGATAAAGACAACTAACTAATTTTTTTCCTTGTTTCAAGATCATCCTCGGTAGACAAAGCCGAGTCTTGTCACTATCAACAAGGCATAAAAAGTAACAAGGACTAAGATGTGTTCCTTGGATTACTGAAAAATCCTGTTCCTCTAGTTTGAAGTAGTCATGACTAGAAATCAGTGGTAGATCTTACATCCCGTAACGTACCACGAAAAGGTGATCAAAACTCATTTGGCATTCTCATCCAAATTTTCCAGACAATTCTCTAATGTGTCCTTAACATCCTTAAATGTCAAGACTTACGTTTTTTGTTTTGTTTGCCTTGAATGGACGTCGTATGAGTTTTTGTTTAAGTCTGAAATCTCGAAAAGTTCACAAGAATTTTAAAAATTTTCTCAAAAAGTGAGACTTAGCCTTAAGAAAAAATTGCACTTGTAATCTAATCTAAATTAAGAAACATATTTTGACGATTTGTTAAAATGAACAGGTCTAGTATACAATGACCACTTCAAGTCTGTTACTTGAAACTTAGCAACTTCAACTATGTATGTATTTTGATAATATTCATTACGAATTATATGAAAAATACGTAACTTTAGTATGGAACCATCGTAATTATCGTTACAGAGAAGGTCGAATTACGCCTCCTTATCAACTTTGCCGTAGAAATCATCTAAAGTCTAAAAAGTCAGGATCTTGAGATACAGCAGTACAAACATATTAACTTCAAATGCTCACTAGCGTCACCTAGCGGGGGAATTCCGAATTGTGCTGTCCATCATCCAACAGTCCTTGACCTCTTGATCAACTTTGACGAAGAAAGCATCCGTCTAAATAGTCAGGATCTTGAGATACAGCAGCACAAATATATTCACTTTCAATAATCACTAGCGCCGCCTAGCGGAAGAATTCCGAATTGTGCTGTCCATCATCCAACAGTCCTTGACCTCCTGTTCAACTTTGCCGAAGAAATCATCCGTCTATATCATTGGTATCTTGAGATACAGCATTCAAATCATCCAAAATAGGAGATTTTAGGGCAAAACTGTGAAAAACCCCTATCGTGCCCAAGATGAAACCCACTCCAATCGATTTCTGGGTTTTTTTTTCTATAAGAATGACTATTTTTTAGTCTCTTGTTCCAGCGAGCACCGAAGTTATTGAATTTTAACACATTGTTTCGATTTTGTCCCCAGTGTGGGACGTATATGCTTTTGTAAACAATGGTTCAAACGTCAATTTGTCGAAACTCTTACCTCTCCCACGCAATCTAACACCAGCATCTTGTGAAGAGCTTTTGATATGTATCCTTTCAATTCCGTTATAATTGGTTATATTTTGACAGATACGCATATTTCGTTCACTACTTGTAGACTTCCTCAGTACCAAGTACTCAAGCATCAAGTACTCAAGAGCTCTTGATAAGGGCATCCGTTAAGAGACAAAATTAAAAGATATTAACCATTGTATATTGGAGAAACATTACCCTTTCTGATGGTGGTGTTAGTTTGCGTGGTCGAGCTAAGAGTTTCGACAAATTGACGTTTGAATCTTTTTTGTATAAAAATAGTTGTAGGTAGAACTTTTAATCAAAGCAATATGGAAAACAAAATGTTAGAAGAAAATGACTAACAAGTTTAATTTTCCCATAGCAATTCCACACAGACATCAAATTATTTGTGCGAACTCAGATTCTTACCATATGAGTTCAAATTTTTGGAGGCTAACCAGAACCCGATTTGGAATTGTTTAAACACTGGGTTTACAAAAATTTCAAATAATGCATCAGTCTAATGATTAACCGATTTTTATCCAGCTTCCAGGCTTCGACGGAGAAATAATTTTAATTTTAGTATTGTCATCTCAGAACAAAGTAACGACGCATATGACAACCGTATCATCCTGTTAAATCAACAGTTGTGATTCAATATGACGAAAGATTTGCAATCTTTTTGTCAAAAATTGCAATTACTACCGGACACCTGCACGCTTAGTTTTGTTCAGTGAATTTGGTAATTTTAGCACCACCTAGCAGTTGGCAATGAGTTTTACTAAGATTTCAGCAAACAGGCGTTTACTTACTGACATTCGGCAAAATTTTATTAGCGATCAAACGTCACATTTGCTGAGATCTCAGTCAAACTTGTTACCGAGCTGCTCGGCGATGCCTAAGTTACCGAGATTCTTGAAACTACAAATTTATTGCCGATATTTAAACAGCCGATCAGTGCTTCAAATTATGTTGCCGAGGCTCAGTAATATAAATGCCGAAACTTAGCTAACAAATTACAATGTTGCAGAGATCTCAGCTAGCAAACAAATAATTTGCAGAGATACGAGCAAAAGAGAATACCGAGTTAATAGGATTTTGGAGATTTTACCGAGCTAGAAAAAGCGTGTAAACTAGGCGTGTGAGATGCAATGAATATGTTGAGGTTATGCGAAATGTGCAAACTGGTGGACCACATTTGGCCACAGACGTGCATGTTGCGAACTTGATCTCGATGGCCCCATACTAAAACACTTGACCTCATCCGAACTTGGGACGTTTGTGCATCAGTTTCTAACCAATTTCAACATTCCATCCAACAGGCACCATGGACCCGAAAGATTTCCTCGCCGAGGCCCAGATCATGAAGAAACTTCGACACAACAAGCTGATCCAGCTGTACGCCGTGTGCACCCTCGAGGAACCGATCTACATCATCACTGAACTGATGAAGCATGGCTCCTTGCTAGAATTCTTACAAGGTATGATGCGTGCTTAAACCGACGTTTTAATTTCCTATCATAATCGATTTTCAAAACCCCATTTAGGCAAAGGAAGAAACCTGAAGCTCCCCCAGTTGATTGACATGGCAGCGCAGATCGCCGCCGGTATGGCTTACCTGGAATCACAGAACTACATCCATCGAGATTTGGCCGCCCGCAACGTTCTGGTCGGGGATAGCAACATCGTCAAGATTGCCGATTTCGGCTTAGCAAGGTAGGACGGGTAACTGATTGAATTTTGGGTGTGGTGTTTACGCAAGTCTTTGTTAACCAACAGATTGATCAAAGAAGACGAGTACGAAGCTCGAGTAGGAGCTCGGTTCCCAATTAAGTGGACGGCACCGGAGGCAGCCAATTACAGCAAATTCTCGATCAAATCGGACGTATGGAGTTTCGGTATCCTCTTGACAGAGTTGGTCACGTACGGTAGAATACCGTATCCAGGTATGATTTCTTTGCTCCCCAAATATGTAACCGAACCGGGGTACTAGATTTTTCTTATTCGCTTTTCAGGTATGACAAACGCCGAAGTCCTGAACCAGGTCGAGCACGGCTACCGAATGCCACAACCGCCGAACTGCAATGTAGCCCTGTACGAGATTATGCTTGAATGCTGGAACAAAGATCCGATGCGACGGCCTACCTTCGAGACGCTGCAGTGGAAGCTGGAAGACTTCTTCACCATGGACCCCAGTGAATACAAAGAGGCGGCACCGTTCTGATAAATGGCGGATAAATGTGAAAATGCCGTCGTCGCTACCATCACCACCACCACCACCGTTGATACTACTGCTTCTAGTACCGCTAATGCTGCTGCTTCAACAACTACACCTACTACTACTACTGCAACTGCTATATCTGCTTCAATCGCCGCCGGTGTCAATGCTCGCCGGCCAAGGCCGCAGCCGCAGAAACGTGAGGTATTGCTATTTATTTAAAAGTCTCTGTCCCCCCCTCTAATTGTTCTAGTACTGCAATTTTCCGACGGTAATCAAAGTGCAAGGAAAAAAACAAAATAGTCGCAATTTTGCTCCCCCCAATAGATTTACGCAAAAGTACGGCGTATGATTGACTTAGGTTGTGCCCCTAGTTTATTTTCGCGATTGCGAGTTAGAGAAATAGTAACACAGACCAGCACTAGAATTACAAGTACGGAATTCTAATACTATCGACTATTACTACAATACACCCATACAAACACACATTCGCTAATTTAAATTCACCCATTAAGCCAAATAAGTCAACCGTCTGAGTGCGCGTTCCCATGCAGTCTGATTTTCCAGCGAGGTTCCTTCGCTTGGACCACGACTACGACAGGTTGCGAAGATCGGCCTAAATGTGTGAAAACATCACTCTACTTCTACTCAATAATTGTTCATTCCTGTTTACCGAACGAAAAAGAAGAACACAAGAAAGTACACTAAAACGAATCGGAAACAATCAATAAGTTTAAGATGATGCGTTTAAAGGCTAGAAATCGAACGTTGCGTTAGTGAATTATAAATTGTTTACAGACTTTAGACGAAAAGAACAATAACAACCGAACAGTAAACACACAAGAACGGGAAATCGACAAATGTGTTCTTTTTATTATTCTTAGCCGGCGACAGCTGATCCAACTATTCTATTACAAACATTGTGTATTTTCGTTAGGTTCTAGTACTGCAGAAAACGGAAGTTTATATCCTCGGATAGTAATTTATACGAAGCGGTATTATTACAATATAATGATGATTGTATGAGAATTGTTCGTATTTGAATTTGCATGATAGGTTTCCTTCGCTGATGAAACCACATACAAAGTGAGATCCTTTCCAGTTAGAAACTAGGCAAATATACACAACTCACCCTCTCACGTCCTAGTTGAGGCGAAATCCAATCATAGGTTTTACTTTCCCATCCCAGTAGGCAACCATTTTGTCCGGCATACTTGACATTTTCAGTACGCACATAGACTACTAGATTTCGTTTATTTCATTTTGGCTCTTGCTGTGACTTCTTCGAACACTTTTTTTCCCGCACAATGATATTTATGGTGATAAAATCCCAATCATTCAAAAATGCGCATTTCTTTTCAGCATTTTGTCTTTCCTGTCCAATATTCCTAACCTCAATTTGACGAAACAAGCGGTAAAAATCTCACTAAAATTGTAAATACATAAAATTGAACATTAAGCCAACAGATAAAGTTTGAAACAATGAATTAAATTTTTAATGTGTAAAGAAAGGGATATAAAGAAGACAACTCAATGAAGCGGGAACTTTCTCGGGAGAAAAAAGAAATGATATAAACACATACAAAAAAAAAGCTAAAACTTTGCTACCTAACTAAGTGAGACAAAGTAGACACAGAGATAGATCTATCTTCGAATCGTTGAGACAACCGCAAAATAACTACACTATAATGGTGTCCCTTTCACACTCCTGCCCCTGATAACGCACCATGGTGACAGACACTGAAGGAAATCGTCCCTTCCTTTTAAGCATATATGTGTGTGCGTCGTTGTCTCTTCGATGCCTCTTCTCGTTTCGGCACCACCCGTCTCAGTTAAGGAATGACCCTTTACTAGAGAGAACAGAAAAAGCTACGTTTAGTTTTTTTTTTAATTATATTAGGCAATTAGACTGAAACAAATGGTCACACACTTTAGGCTGTGTTCCATTTGATGAATTTTCACTTAAAAATTGCCGAAAATCCCTCTATTGTTGATGGATCGATTTTCGAGTAGCTGTTTGTTAAAATTCATTTCTCGTCCATCAGGAACAAGTCTGGTGGAATAGCAGGGTTATTTGAAAATTTTACATCTGTCAAATTTAAGTGAAAATTCACCAAATGGATAGCTAGCAAGCCCTAATTCATTTCCGTTTTATTTTTCTGAATCATAGTTGTTCCCATTTGCAATGTTTTTTTTTTAAGGTTATGTTGTGAGCAGTGCTTGATGTGTCCTTACAACGTTCGTGTATGTTATTGCTAATTATTCTTGTCATCACATTTTGCATCCATTTTTTTTACGTTTCAACTTGTTCTAATTTGTTCATCTCGTTAGACTATGCACACTGATCACAAACGTTTTCTCAATGTAAATGTACCGACATCTGTTCGCAAGTTCATAACTCGTTTGCAATTGCAAAGCTGCACCAAACCGCTTCCGGAAGCTTCATGGTGTGGTTGGAACTATCAGCGTTGTTTAATACAAAATTAAATAAGAATTTTGCAATCTTCTTCTGAATGTTTGAAATCGACAAGATCGACCAGCAACCCCGATTAGTAGTAATAGGACCTTTTCGATATTTGAAACCCGAAATTCCGCGAGCCCTGATACATCTCAAAACCGACACGCGTAGATAGCGATATGTCGAATTGAGATTGAGACAAAAAGAAAACCTTTATTAGATATCTTTAACCGATCATCAACACAACATACGTTATACACTGAAAAAAAAACATGAAACTAGATGCTCACACGTGTTAACAGACCGATTTTCATTCTTAACAAGTTTCATATATCAATGTGCTTGCGTATTGACATACACACAAACACAGACAAAAAGGATTAAATTTGAGAGGCAAGCAAGAAGACACGAAAAAAAAGTTGGGCAACGCAAGCAACAAATAAGTGAGTTATTACTGAGAAATGAACGATAAAATCTCGATGAACATTTCAAATGGTCCTATCTGCTTTGATCGATTCTCTTCATCGACTTTCTCTTTCGTTAATAACTCAGCTGCAAAACCTTTCCCTGCTGTATTTGACGTTTTGGACGCTAGATAAGAACCTCCTTTATCAAACTATGTGGTAGAATTAGCGCGAAATCTGTTTGCATAGCAGTGGTTATGAAAAGAGAAAGTCGATGAAGAGAATCGATCAAAGCAGATAGGACCATTTGAAATGTTCATCGAGAAATGCATCAATAGTAATCTTTTTATGATATTTTAATTGTAAATGTTGATAATTACAATTAAGAAAAGGACACTGAAATATATAATTATGACGAAGAAGACGATGATGATGAAACAGATAAACAGATGAAAAATATGACGATGAATGATATGAAACACGCGATAAAACTGTATCAGAAGTAAACAACAAAAAAATATATTGAAAATTTTTATAAATAATTTCCGTGGTGGTCGAGCTGTTTCGTGCTAAACCGTATCCGAAATCCTTTTGATATTGACATATATTTGAAATCCTGAACTTGCAGAAAGGGCCATACAGAGGAACTAGAAAATAATAATAATGATATTAAAATCCAAAAACCTATAAATCACGAAAAATAATATCTAGCGTTCAAAATCATAAGGGTCTAACTGCGATGATCGCTTTCCTTCATCGATTTTCTCTTGTGATAACAAGTTGGCCAACCTTTTATGGCACTGCAGTGGAAAAAAGTCGGGACATTGGGAAAGTTTACCGCCCCAAAAATAAAAAAAATAAATATTTTCGACACGTTTTTATTTTTCTAAAAATATTGGGAAATAATATCAAAAATCCAAAAAAATCCAAAATTTCTTAGATTTTGACAAAAATTACATGTAAAAATATTTTTGCTTTCTCATCATGAACAAATATTGGACTCTCAGCAAAACCGAAAAGACGATGTTTTGTGGTTTTTTGAGTCCAACTTTATGCCATGATGACTTTCAAAACATTTTTTTGCACATGAATTTCCTTTAGAAAATTAGAAAAGATTTTTGATATCTTTCTCCAATGTTTTCAAAAAAATCGAAACGTAATTTTTTTTCGGAGCGGTAAACTTTCCCTTAAGGTTCTACTTTTTTTTTACATTGCGTTTATTTTTCCAGGCTCATTTGCCATAGCTTTGCGGAGCCGATATTCATCGTTTGGGTTACAAAATTACTTAAAACTAATGTTAGTAAAACGGGGCCCGATTACTCGCGGTTATCTCGAGGTTAGGGGTAACAAATTGTAGCAAACGGATGGCAGGGTAGGGATTGAGAACACAATGTGCTCTTGATCTCGAACTAAGCGACATACAGATGAAAAAGACAAAAGGTTCTACTTACCATCAATAAAATATGTCTGCTCCTTCTTTTTTTAAAGTTCACGTAACTTTTTTTTTTCTCCAATAACTAACTAATCAAACTATTCAAAAGTCAAATGCTTATTATTCTTATTTTTTCGTCAATAATCGAAAAATTCGAAAATAAAATCAAAAAATCAAAACAGCCTTACAATAGAGCCCCTCTTGTTCTGGAAGTAAAGCTTACAGAACCTAACCTAACCCTTCATAAAATCAAATTTCAAATTTTTAAGCAATTCCCCGGGTTGTTAATGTGACCAGAATTGAGCTTGTTTTAGAGTTCTCATGAAATTGTATGTGTCGGATAATGTGTATTGACTCTAGGACAATTCCTCGGGGATGGATCCGGATGTGACCAATGTAGTCTGGGGTCTGGGACACTCGATATGTACTATTTCGACTAGGACCTTGTTTTGACGTAATTTCATGTGCCACATAATGTAGTTTTGTTCTAATCAGGAACTGGCCACTATGGTGTATTGACTTCCCTAACGCTTCCCCCAGAAGTTCTATGTACTTTTCCGAGAAGTCCTATGAACGTTTCTTAAAAGTCACACGGACGTCTCCTAGAAGTCCTATGATTTACCAGGATTTACCTTACCTTACCAGTTAGGCTAAAGGCCAAAGCTCAATAACAGCGTAAACGGAACGGCAGCGGCATTGAAATCTAGTTAGAACCTAATCGAATTCGGTTAGGCATCTTGAATTTGATGTCATTTGCTCCGCTTCCGCCCACATTGCGTTTGGGCCTTAAGGCTCCATAGATCTCGCCGTAGATCGCCTTCCACCCACTCCGATGGCAGAAACGTCATCCACGAACATTTGGCTTGAAGCCTGAAGGCTGGCGCACAATGCATAAGTTTCCGTTTTTTTTTTGACCGATAATGCATGGGTTAACTGTCAAAAAACCTGAAAACTTATCCATTGTGCGCCGACCTGAAGTTTTTGGTTCTTTGGCTCGATTATCTGCCAATCTAATGCCTTGTTCATACAGGTTCAGACTACACAGTTATAACATAGAGGTAACTCTAAGACCAGAAGGTCCCGCAATAACGTGCTCAACTTTTTGGCTCAGCTCTGGTACTCTCTTCGGTCCCAAGCTAATCGATGCACCCCTCGAAACATAGGAAAATCCACTAACCCCTCATTTTATCTCCACTTTCATAGCGAATCAAAACAAACATTGTGTAGTACTAGAATTTCGACTAGAATGGGGTACGTTAATCGTTTGCTTAGGACCAATAGGCTAGTCAAGTAGTGAGCCAATTTAAAATCGTTAGTTTCGTATTTATTGTTGTTTTAACTCTCCAGTCTGGACAGCGTTTAAGACAGCAGATGCAAATATTGAGAAATTATGCTCCGTTCACATAGATGGTTGATTTGTTGCGTGGCAAAATTTTTAACGCATAGTGTCTTTGATCTAACTTCCGTCATACTAAGCACATCCCGCGCTTTACCTCTTTTTTCTGAACGAGTTTAAACAAAAAATGGAATATTTCTGTCAAAGGTGACTTCTACATTTATTCACCTTTCCATACGTACCGTTGGATTTGATAAAGAGTCATAAATTGGTTGAGATATTGTTTATAATGTAATACTACTTCTTGATTCTAAATTCGTTCTACGAGTTTCAATTCCGTCCTAACGCATTTAAACGCCATTAGATTTTCTTCGTCCTATGGATAAACGGAGGGGATTTGCTAGGAGCGCTTCTTTTGTTTTGAGAACAATGAGCGTAAATATCCATACAATGCGCTCTACCAGGATTTATGTTGTAGCTAATGAACTAACGCATCGGAAAAAGACTTTTATTGATTTGTGCATGGTGAAATCATTGATATTATTGATCTTTTCTGATATACAGAAAGGAAATAGGCGATTTCGACGAAGTAGCGCTCTACCCTACGTGTCGTCAATACACATATAAACACGAGTATAAACATAGCATTAAAACTGTAGGCTACAGTGCTGACACCACCGATTGTGGTGGCTTCAGCTACCCTCCTTCTGAATACTTGGCAAGATGGACCAATAGAGTGATGCAAAATTTAAAATTTTCGCTCCAAAGTACTTAAACGATTCCAAATCGGATTCTGACCAACCTCTCCAAATTTGAACCCATTTGGTGAGAAACTGAGATGGCACAAACCATTTGAAGTTTGTATGGGAATTACTATGGTAAAACCAAGATTTTTGTTCATATCTATCTAATAATTCACCATATCGATCTGCTTCAAAAGCTTTCAACTGTACTTGTAGGAATTTTTTCCAGCTACAACTTTGCTGAAGACACTTTCGGATTAAATGCAAGGATCGAATGTTATCAATGGTTCAATGCGCTGATGTCTTATGATCATGCTCAATCCACTGCTCAGCAGGCAACATTGGTGTTTCTGGGGCGTTGAATAGGGCACAAAAATCATGGCTACTATGTCACACTGCAAAATACAGTGTTGCCTATAGAGCAGCTGCTTGATCATGTCATAAGTTTACCAATCTCTTAAATAATTAATAACTTTTTCCTGTCTCGTTTTATATAGAAACGATCTTCAGCAAAGTTGTAGCTGAAGAATAAGAATTAATGTGAATTAATGTAAGAATTTTCTATAAGAATGGCTATCGAACTGTTTCGCAGCTCAATTTGAAAAAAGACTAGAAGGCAATGAACACAAAGTTGAGATTTCCCATAGTAATTTACATGTAAACTTCAAATGACTTGTGCGAAGTCTGTTTCCAACCAAATGAGTTGTAACATTGGGAGCCCGAATAGAAATTTACATTAGCCCAACGTTTGATTTTGATGTCTACATCAGCATCGAAATCAAATGTATGCCTGATGTCAAACATTAGGAAACATTATGATTTAGTTGTATTTAAGCAACGTGACATGGTGTATACATCAGAAATTTTGGAACAAAATTTTGCCATTCTAATGTCGGTCTGACGTCAAAAATTTTAATCTATTGACATTAGAACCAAACGTTTTAAGGATGTTTTCAGATGTACAAAACGTTAGAACTAAACGTTGTTCGGATGTTTTTAAATGTAAACGTTTTCTGATGTTTTCTAATGTAGATGTTTCCTGATGTTAGAAACAAACGTTTTTGGATGTTTTCAGATGTAAAAAACGTTAGAACTAAACGTTTTTCGGATGTTTTTATATGTAAACGTTTTCTGATGTTTTCTAATGTAGAGGTTTCCTGATGTTAGAATCAAACGTTTTTCGGTTGTTTTCGGAAGTAAAAAACGTTAGAACTAAACGTTGTTCGGATGTTTTTATATGTAAATGTATTCTGATGTTTTCTAACGTAGATGTTTCCCGATGCTAGAACCAAACATTTTTTGGATGTTTTCGGATGTACACAACGTTAGAACTAAACGTTGTTCGGATGTTTTCAATTGTACTTCGTGTTTGTTGTTCTCTGATGTTTTCAGATGTACAAAACGTTTAAAGTAAACGTTGTTTGAATGTTTTCAAATGTAGATGTTTACTAATGTTTTTAGATATACAAAACACTAGAATCTTACTTTTCAAATGCTTTCAATTATATTTACAACACATTAGAATTAGAAACATGATCGTGTAAACACTACACA